ACTAAGGGTGACCTGCAAAACCCAAACCGAAGCCCAGACAGGTCAACCACAACTCCCTGCAAAATGGCAAAAAGACAAAACCCTGCCCATGCAAATCCTTATGATTTTTTGACAAGGGCAAACCTTACTCTGAAGGGGACAAAAAAAACCCAACATAATAAAGCCTTGGTCTGCTACATTTAGATGTTTTTGAGCTCAGGCTGGTTGAGCTCTGTGCTGCAGCAGGCAGATTCAAAGGGGCTCTCTTGCAGAAGAGTCCTGGTAAAGCTGGCAGTGGCTGCACTCAAGGCTCGCCTACTAAGGGAACCTCACACTTTGAAGCTGAACAGGCCAGAGATCAGACCAAAACATCCCGAACATCAAGGGAAACCAAGGAACTGGTTAAACGCGAACATCAAGAAAAAAGGACAACAAAAAAAGACATGAAAAAGCGTTCGTCATAACCCTTGATGGCTGCTTTATCTGTGCTGTTGCTGTAGTAGAGTCTTTGGAAATGCGATGCTCTGAAAGTATAAAGGAGACAGGATTTGTAGGGAAAAGTAATATCTTTTATTAGATCATTCGACATAGTCAGGAAAAAAAAAAGTCAAGCCCTGGGCACACAAAACGTTCTGGAAAACTTGTCTGACTTTTTCAATTACACTGATATTAACTCTACCTGCAAATCCCACTTTGCTTTGGCTACTTCCAGCTGCCACCAGCATCTTCTCCTTACGTTATCACCTCTACTTTTGAGATTTTTTTTTCATCCTTGTTCTTCCTCCTTTCGCTGAAACATTTTTTGCTGCTGGGCCAACGAGGCAAGAATAATTACTGTATTTATCACACGTCGCTTCATCTTACTTGTATCTTTATACTACTTTCAGGCTGGTTTGCCTGAAATTGTGCAGCAAAGCATAGAGTACTGGGGGCAAACCTTCACACACAACTCCAGGCCTTTGCTTTGACCACCCACAAATATTTCCTCCTTTTTAGGCTGAAAGCTGTGAGAAAATCTGACTGACAACAGCAAAGAATGGCGTAATGTTCTTTCAAATTATTCGGTCTAGATCCAGGTCTTACATGCAGTTTCACAAATAAGTCTTTAATTTAACTTTTGGGAATGGATGGCAGCCCTGGCAATTTTTATACAGAGCAAAAAGATTACACCACATTTTTCCCCTCATATAGATGGATTTACTCGGTTCTTTATGGTCTCAGAACCTTAAAGAGATAACGGCAGGTTTGCCAAAGTCCCTCCAGGAATTACCTAATCTTTCTAAAATTGTTTTCCAAAATAAGACAACACACCGCACAAAAACCTTTTTTTTTCACTTGAACTCTAAACTGAAAGTGTTCAGATAATGCTTTTGCCTAAAAAAAACCGAAACAAAACAGGGGAACTGCACAAATTGCAAGACATCACATCACTCCAAACAAAAGCACTGAAATAAGAGTTTTTCTTTATATATTCCATAGCTGAAACAATTAAGATTTCATACAAATTTAGATATTGTTTCAGTCAAATCAAATGGGTATTTTTTTTAGAAAAAAAACAAAAACACCAACAAACAAAATATAAGCAATATTTCTCCCATGTAATCATTTTCTTCCAGTGATGATCTGCCAAATGGATGATGCTAGGCTATGGGTAAAAAGATCTTAAGGTACTGGAGGGCTCCTACAGCAACAGGACCACAGGGCTGAAAACAGAAAAAAATCTTATTTTCTGTGTCCAAAAGATACAGGAATGTATGTTTTCTGTAAAATCTGTTAAAAAAACACAAAAGTTATCGCCTTCAGATTTGCTGAGGAAACACTCTTCCCTTCCTGGCCGCCTTTTTGTGAGCAATGCAAATGCTCCGCAGAGCTCCAGTCAGAGATGTGCAGGGGCAGGTATTTTTAGAACACAAACTCTCATGGATTTTGAAAGGCTCTTTGCATATGGAAAGTAAAGAGAAAAAAAAATGCAAAGTATTTCAGGAAAAGGATAAAATGATTCATCGACAGTTATAGAACAGAAGGGACGGGCTGGTGCTTTTATCTTCTGTTTATAGAGTTGCTCATGTGAGCCTCAGCCCCTGTGCTGTGGGGACCTTGTGTACCTCGTGTGCACCTTCCACCTGCCCCCCTGGGCTCCGCAAAAAAGCCTGACACAGCAGCTGGAGCCAGTTTGCTCACTGCTGAAAGGGCTAAGTCAACACCTAGTCAATACAGCACTCAGTCAGTGGCCTGGTAGGGACAATATGGCAGCCTCCACGCTAACCTAGTTGCCTTCACAGAGGTTTTTCTCTGCACTCATTGCCTTGCTTGGCGTGTTGGACACTCAGAATTAGATGTATAAAGGAGCAGGGAAGAAAGCTGGTGCTCCAAAATGCCTCTGATGTGACAGACGGTGGCAAACACCACTGAAATCCTCTGAAGAGGGCCTTCTGGATCCCACCTGAGGCGTGCAATGGCTTGATCGGCAAAAGTGCTCTGGGTGCAGCCCCTGCCTATGTACAGTTGGGCATTTCAAGCCACAGGACAATTTCTGTCACCTGCTTTGGTAGCTTAACCTCACTGGAGCAAAACCAGCACCTGAGACAAAAATAATTGGACTGTTGCCTGGAGTTGATTAAACTCGCCCAGTGGAGGCCCAGACCTTGCGCCAGAATCAGATGGGGCTTTCTGTGGTTCTTAATGTTTCCTCCAGCACTTGGGACACCTCGGGCCTATCTGCACGTGTCACCCAGACAACAACAGAGGCATTTGATGATCATTTTATGTTGGTGAAGTCATACGTCCTTGCACATTTAAGGTTTTCTGCCTCCTTTGATACACCACTAACAAGGCATTTCGTTATTGCTGGGGGGTGAGAAAAGCCTACATTTATGGAACTTTCCTCTATTTTAAAGTGAGAAGGATAACTGTGATGACCCAGGGCAGAAGCAGATGCTTAGCCTGGCATTAATCCTGGCACAACACAGGAAAATGCGATGAAAATTCAACTGACAAAGAACTAACGAGTATGAATGTAATTGATGCCAGTCAAAATGGTTTCTGCAAGGTGGATCTTGTCAGACTAACCTGATGGCCATTCTTTGATGAGATTACAGGTTTGACTGAAAAAGTTTGGTTAAACAGGTATAAAATACCCAGACCCCTGAAGGATGTTTAACTTACTACCATGTGTTATTTGACTGCAAAGCAGCAACATACAACATCAGTAGACTGTGACACACATTGATTAAGAAACTGCTGCTGACATCTCAAGTATTTGTCATTGGGGGAATCATCATGAATAGATGTGTTTCTAGCAGGGCTCTACAGGGACTGATAGCAGCCTCAACAACATTCAACATTGCTAACCAGGATCGGGAAGTTAATTTAAAAACAATCGAAAAAATTCTAGATGATACAGAAATCGACGAAGCAGCAAACAGTGGGAGAACAGGGCAGCCAAAGCAACCTGGATCACTTACTAAATTAATAAAGCCAAACACAAAGTAGGTATGGGTAGGAAGAAATGCACACAGAAGGAGAAGCTGCCTTCTGGGAGCTGTTTCAGGGGAACAGAGTCTATCTGCCTTTCGTCAGACAGACATGAACATATTGTACTAATTTCCACTGCTCAAATTTTAAAGAAATGAGCAGAGGGGAGTAAAGAGCTACAAAGACAGATTCAACTCATTTTGGTAGTTTTGGTAGTTTTCCCTTTGTCAAACAGTGTTTCAATGTGATGTACAAATCACTACTAAAGCCATTAAAATTTTATGAGTTATGGTGACTCTAAATTTTGAGAGGAGTATGGGGAAGTATTCTAAATTTTGAGTTTTCTCTGTCCTGACAAGTGTTGGTTATGGGATTTGCTTGTACCACCAAAGGACCAATACACAAAAGGAGAAGACAAGACAAATAATTAATAATACTTCACTGATAGCTGGGGAAGAATAATGGAAACTACAGCTCCTTTCCTGATTGCTTTTTGCTCAGATTTTGACACTGCATCTACATATTCGGGCAGTAGTTGGCTTCTGGGTTCTTCCTTTCTGCATAGTTAGCAGGTTTGGAGTATTTTCTCTCTTGCTGACTGTGCTAAATTATCTGTACCTTCTTGCCATTAAGGGATTAGTTTAATGAACTTTGCATGGATCTACCCTCAGCACTGCAAAGTTTAGCTAGTGAAGTTGTATCTCCCTAGCATTTACACATGTTGGAAAAGAAGTGTGTTTTACACAAATTTTCTTTGCTAGTCTCCAATTTGCTTTTACTATCACTATTTGAGGTGCATTTTTGCCTGTGCTTAAAGTTTAGAGGATATGGGTTTAAGATACTTTGTTCTCATCTGATACCACTCTTGAAGTATCTCGGTGCATTGTAACGGTGAGAAATTCTAAATTAAAAGGGGAATGAAAATCATTTCACAGTGGGGTTTTCTGTTGGATAAGGTTTTTCTGTCTAATTCCCCTCCTCCAGCGCTAGGTATCACTGCAATGGAGAAGTTGTTACCAAGTTTTGTTTTCAGGTTTTATTGGAAGATGAATGGGAGGAGATGTATTTATGCTTCTCACTGAGCTAAGAGCAATTTAAGAGATACTGTTCAAGATAAAAGCTAAATCCATTTCATTAGAAGTATGGACATAACTTTGAATAGTTTCTTTAAGTAACCAAAATAGGAGCCCCAGAAGGGAATTAGGTTTTATAAGCTGCAGCATCACTTACAGAACAACACAGGTAATTAGGTATAAAAGCATATGGTTGAAATTACCATGACAAACCACCTGACACTTGGAATTTGAGATTGCAAGTACATCCCATCCTGAACACTGCTCATTAGCCTAGAACTCACAGTTCACATAGACAAGTATCAGCAGGTAATTTTTCAGTGGGAACAGCTATGGGAGTTTTGGATGAAGACAAATGCCAGCGTTTGATAACTATGACTGCAACCTCAAAAACCAACTAGAACTTAAAACAAATTACTGCTCAAACTACTTTTATCACTGACTGGAAATATTACGTGGCAGGGGATTGTTTACCTGGAATGCTCTCCAGTTTTCTGCGAAGCTCCTCATTTTCTTGTTGCAATGAAATTACCTCCTGTTCTAGCTCTTGACACCGAGGGCAGTAACCTTCTTCTTCTTCCTCCTCTTCCTCCTCTGGAAGTGTAGAAGATGATGGGTGACCATGAGATTCAGAAGTTGCTGGAGATGTCCATCCACCTAAAGTGTGCACTGGAGAGGTTGAAAGCGGATCCACATCTGCCAAATGGCTAAAATCATTTACTGACGAGGTGTTCTGAGAAGGGAAGCTCCCAGAAAGCAAATAGTTCTGAAGGGAATCAGTAAAAACTCTCAGAAAGGCTGAGGTTTGTTGTTTCTTTTGCATATACTGCATCTCTATGTCTAAAATGTCTGACGTCTGACTATGGACCATTTTCCCAAGCTGACATTGCTCTTGTCTTTCACTATAATTTGGGTTTTCCTGCTTTATACAAGAAATCATGGACTGAGAGTGATTGTTGTCCAGTAGTTTTCCACCACAATTTAATAGACTTAGAACCCGGCTGCATTGTTGGGCAAAGGCATCCAGAATCATTCGACTCTCTGAAACAAAAGAAAAGATGAATCACAGAAACCTAATGCAAAAGGTTATGCCAGGCAGCAGCAGCAGCTAGATGAACGTACACAACCATTTACAGTAGCATGCATTTTATTTCTGAACACATTAAAATTATGGCTTCTGCTTTAATACTTCTGCAACACTGTGATTTAAAACAATCCTGACTTTGCTTCTATTTTGAGAGTGCCCTTGTGCCCTTGCTGTTAATCAGAAATGCATTGTGATGATAGTCACCGCTTCGTGCCATGTTCTTTCAGAGGGATTAAGGCAGGGAAATGGGGAAGAAAATACAAATTCCACTCAATTTGCCACAAGTAAAAGTTCAAGGAAGTATTTCTTTTGAAGCATATTTCAAGCCGCTGGTGGGCATGGCCTGTGCGTATTTGCAGGACATTGTGCTACACCTTCTTCCTATGCCCTGTTCCTCCCTGACAAGGCTTCCGAGCTTCATTTTTTCTCCTTTTCATCTTTGCTGCACTTGCTTGACATTGGGCCTGGGCCACCTCCCATGACCCACACCAATTTTATGGGCTTTGTTTCTGTTCCTTTTCCTTTATGTTCCAAATATGTCCAGAAACAATTCAGGAGCAATAGGCACAAAAACCTCTTAAAGGCATTGAATGTATAGCATGAAGCTCCCCTGGTCTGAGGACCAATGCTTTGTCTCCTGACTTCCTATGAGCTTGTGTGCAGGCCACCACCACGCCGTGCGGTTGTGGGGCTGTGCAGCAGGTTTTGGGGGCAGCAGCTGGGATTTGGGGGCAGGATAAGTGTGCCATGCCATACCTGGTCAGACCTACCCTGGCTGACAGGAGGTGTCAATGGTCTAAACCTCAGTAATAGTAGGATGGTTTACTGCTGCAGTGCCTGTCTATGCAGAGTCAAGCTGCCCTAACAGTGCTTGGACCACACATAAAATGACCAAGATGTTTGGCTCTGACTTATGGTATAACCTGTCAGGTTCCCTGGTAACAATTACGACTTTAAAAAAAAAACAACACTTATTTATGGCTTACTCATAGCTGAGTTCCTCTAGGTGCCTAACATTTTGCATGAAATAAATAAATAAATAAATAAATAAGTGGTAGATTTAAGTGCTGCCAAATTTGGAGAGCTCTTCTCAGACAGGCTTGACTTTTAGAAAGTGACAAACGCGTTCCCTTTTTGAAAAGGCAGCCTGCTACAGATGCACGAAAACTAAGCACCCCAAACCTTCATTTAACTTAACCTTATCACTAGAGATGGAACGCCTGGCCTCATCACACTGATAAAGTGTAAAGCACAGAAACCTTCAGAATTCAGTCCGTTAAGAGGTGGTGCTTCTCACGGTACTTCTCCGTGAGCCAGGAGATATGCTTCCTGGTGGAAAACCTACATCATCCCGAGGTTAGTACAGCTGTCCTGAAGCATATCTGAAATGACACTAATTTGGATTTTTACCATTCTCCAGCTGTCTATAAAGAGGAAAAGGTCTGGGGCAGCATACAAATGCTCTACGTCTTGAATGCAGCTGGAGGAGACAACCCGAGGACATCGCCTTCTGAGGTAAGAGGTAAGAACAGGGATGTGAAATGGACAGAAGGGAAGGTGCAGTGCTGGGCTATGAGGTGGCCAGGGATAAGCCGAGAGAGATCCAGCAGCCTGGGAAGGACTGGGGGGGCCTGAGACCACTTAAAGCAGCCCTGCAATCCTCCTCCTGTGCCAGCGAGTCACGCCGCACCCTCAGTTCCTACATGGGCTCCACTCACCAAGCAGGACAGATCCTTCTGACACATCTCTTTATGATCAAAAATGCAAACTAACGTGCTCCATCCATATTGCAAAAGCAGAGTGGGTGCCAGCACGGAGCAGCGACTACTTGGCTCCTGCAGCAGCAGGGGCTTGGTAGCCTCCATACCCATCCACCACTTCTTCCCTTTCATGTTTCAAAACATGTTTCAAAAGCATGGAGCCCTGGCATCACTGTGTCTTTCCAACTGGGAGCTACCGACAAAACAAAAGGAGACCAAGAAACCAAACTATCCCTGACAACCTCGAGTTGTGCTTTCTGTACCTCATGTCTTTACTTCACACATTTTCCCTTTAAAAATATGAGAGGATGATATCGATTGGAACTTTGCAATCCTACTACAGAGCGGTTTTTCATTCATTTTAATCCTATAATCCGATTCCAAACCTGAAGTCATATTTACTGTTTGTATTTTAATCATTATGGTCCCTGCTGAGAAAACAGTTACTCATTTTTTTGCGTCTCCTTGTTGCAAGGGGACAAAATATGAATGAAACAACTGAAAAGGGATTAGATTAGTTTAAGAGATGTTATGCTAATATTATGGTTTCTGCTAAAATATGGCAAAAAGTAACCTGACATTTCAAATACCAGTTTTGAAGAATGCTCTAATACACACTACCATCAGTAAAGATAAAATTAATGATTAGTTTTGTTGTAAAATTCAATGCATTATGCACATTCACTGTGATAATGGCTTAAAATGCAACTGAGATTTTATACCGAAATGACAGCATTGATTTAATCTTCAGTTCAGTATCAGATCTACTACAAAGGCACAATAACAGCAATTACTATTTTTCTTCTTAACTTTAACCCATACTCAAAGATATAAAAAGGAGAGCCGTGACTAGGCAGGGTTATTCTGCAGTGCTAGCACAAGGAGTCGGAGATGCTTTCTGTGGGTACCACTGGGCAGCAACAGGGAGGGATGCTCTCGGCACACGTTCTGGACACATCTGACTCCATGCTGAAGCGTGTACCACTGCAAAGTGACTGGTACACCAGGAACAGCACATGTACCCATGCTCTGAACAACCCTGAATGAGAACGATAACTACAGGTTATTTCTTGTGATGGAGAAAAAATAAAAACAAATGCTGCCCATTTAGCATTTATTGTGGAGCTCGGGATTTCAGCTTTTACAGAGTGACTGCAATTAGAAATGCAAGCAGTGTGCAATGTCTAATCGCTAAGAAATGACAAAAAATTATTTTTATGTGAACACTACTGAATAATCACTGATCTAGGGTTCTTAATTGATTTAACGTAATGTATATATTTTCTAGGAAAGCAAGATTCTCTTGAAATGACTGTACCAGACTGAAATAGTGTAAACCGTTTATTAAATTCTTATTGTGACATTCCTCTTCCTTATTATGATGCTCACCAACCATGTAATTCTAATGTGTCAGCCCCTGCGCAGTCTTTAGCCTTACAGAACTTGTACTGACTTTAACCCCAATTGTGCCTGAAGGTGGACTTGCCAGATTAGGCCCATCAAGTGCCAACAGATCGTGATTAACTTGCTAAAAGCGTAAGCAGTTCGAACCAGGCGGTTTCCTTGGAGTGTGCCAGCAATCAGATGTCAACACATGGCAGATCAGGTACCAGCTCCCACATACAGCTTTCATCTTTACCTCTCACTGCTGCTGAAACAGGTGGTTTCTTGGCTATCCGACTGCCAGACCAAACCTGACGTTTTAGTAGGAGCAAATGTCTGAAACTCAACCTGATGAATTACACGGATATATCTGAAAAGGCTGGTGGGTATAAATCATGTTTCATCTACACCTGAAGATCTTTTCAGTACTAAGCCTAGAAAGCTTTACTAATAAGCATCGTGCTGGGTCTCAGTGGATCTGGATTCAGGTGTTGGTTTTTCCTTATCCTCCTTTTTGACCTTGGTCAGATGGTACAGAGATGTCTTTGTAACTATTGAGGGGGTCTGAATACCGTATGTTCTCCCCTTTACAGATTTTCACTGAGATTTGAAGATCCAAGTTCCTTAGCAATAATCTCACCCTTCACCTTGCAGTGTTTCAGATTTTTCTCTCTCCATTTGTTGTATTATTGTATTTTTATTGCTTTAGATTCCAGGGTAGCATCTTTGTACCCCCAAATGGCTTTGTCCTTGTACATAAACATTTTCATTACATATTGAGATACAAACCCTGCTGCAAATGCCCAAGTCACAAAATCGAGAGCATCTGACACCCTGACTAAGGGATGCTTTTTGTGGGTGTTCTGCATGAAGACACTCCAGCAGATGAAGATTACACATGTCTGGCCATTTCAAAACTGATCTGTCTACTCCAGATAAGCGTTTCCAACTTCTTGGTTAAGGGCAAGATGATGATCTTCACCTTCTCTATTCTCATAAAAAAAAATCTGTCTGGACGTGATAGAACTTGCTTAATTGGTCTCGTCAAACATGCCAAGCTCTTAGCACTGGGATGACACTTCTAAGACAGCTCTGCTCATCTTTTTTTTGCTTTCAAGTAAGCAAGGCACAGCGTAAGGTCTACATCATGCTATCCCTAAGAAAAGGAGTTGGGTTTTGGAGACTGTGATATGGCTTAATGTAAATGCTACCAAAGACAAAGACACGTTATTTGGATTATTTTCAGGGTATGAAAAGAGACTAATAAACAACTCATAATCTAAAGGAGAAAATGGGTATCTGACCATGTCTTGAATGTGCATGAGTGGCTTACAGTCAGTCACTGTTTGCTGGAGAAGAGGGAAGGGTTGTGTTTGCAGCACAGCTCCACATTTCTCACTGTGAGATGACATTTCTCAGGCTGCGAGATGGGACCTCAAGCTAGATCCTTCCTGATGATGATGCAGGGTGACCCCCTGCTCCTCTTCCTTCCCACAGCCCCTCTCCCTGCCAGTATTCTGGAGTCTGGTGGCCAGGGCAGTCTCTCAGAGGACTGAAGATGATGCCATTAATTCTTGGCATGAGCTCTAGCCATTAGGAAATGCTTCAAAAAATGGTAGCATCCCTACTCCTCCCCTTCTGGCTGTGTTGTAAGTGCCCACTCTCAAAAGCAAACTTGGTGCTCTGAATCCCCAGGTGCCAGAAACATCATGCCTAAAGATCAAGAATCAATGCATCAAGTGTTCAAGTTGCTAGTCCGGAGTTAGACATCCCAGGGACAGGGCTTTGCCAGCCAGCTTGCTCGCTGTGGCCTGCACATGTCAAGTACCAGCAAAAAGAAGGGAACCACTGAAACAGGTGTCCCTACAGAAGTGTGATCTGCAGCCCTCTACCATTTAATTCAAGGAAGCCTCTGCCATGTGCTGTGGCTGAGCCAAGTGGGAAAACCCTGCAAGCCACCAGTGGCAACTGTCTGCCTTCTGCAGAGCAACAGCAGGCAGCACACAACTGGTGGTAACAACCCTGTACAGAATTCCACATCTGCACACCATAGCAAGTTTTTGGTTTGCATTCTTCAGTTTTGCCTGATTTGCTTGGTAGCCAAGTCTCAGCTATGAGAAGGGATCTACAGGAAAGCCCAGATGCACAGGTGGTGGGGCAGGGACTGCAAAGAACTTCAGTGCACAAAACCAGCCACTCCTTAACTATCTTTTTCAGCACTGACTGAAATGAATGACAAACTCTCAAGCCAGCCCTAGCTCCTGGTTAGCGCAGTCCACAGAGGTAGGAGAAAGTCCAAACTTCTGCTCATCAAAGCCCAGCGGGCTTTGCTGTGAATATGGCCTCATATATCATCTACCAGACAGCTGAATGTCTTCCATGGCGTAATCTGCTTCTGTGAAGAAATGTAGGTGTCACATTTATCAGCAGCATTTTGATTGTGGGCCACAAAAATACTGAAATAACAGCATTCGGGCATTTAAAATAAGCAGTAGTTTCAAGAAAAAAAAAAGGCAAATATGACCTTCTGCTATGGATCCTGGGACCGCTCATCAGAGCAGCGAATTTTCAGACTGATCTATTCAAGTATTAAACTTTTTTGGTAAAGTGCACGAATTATTTGTAACAAGACATGACAAATTCATCCCGTACATGGCTGCTTGTGAGTGAAAACACACATTAAAACATAGCCATATATCCTATTAACTAGCATATCGCCCTGTTTAGTAAAGAAATGTCATCACATTTGTTACAAAGGCAAACAGCAACATACCAAAACAGGCTCCAATTTTTCTAAATAAATAAATCAATGATGTGTCAAAAATTAACAGATGAGTTAATATACCCGATGTTATCAAAACCAGATGGTGCTTCATAATATTCATCCTGTTCAGTCAAACCCTGAATATATTCCGGACCATCAGTATATAAAATAGGATGCTGCTATTTGTGATGGCAAACAAAAGCAATCATGCCTGCCAAGCACATACTATAACAGGCAGCATTTCAGCTCTGCTAGACAGAAAGTAATTAGAATGCTTTTAATGTCCAAAAGAATGATGCTGATAGGCTGCCACAGATGTGTAGATTTATGAATATTTATATGGTGGTTTATAGCTGACACTTTTATCAGTTGAAGAAGATAAAATATCTGCCTGACTCAAAAGCTTGACAGTCAGGTTAATAAAATCTCATTAAAGAGAATGACCTATGCAATTATATAGGATTTATTGTAATTCATTTTTGATTGTACTCTGCTTAAAGATGCAATTTCCCATTTCCTGATGCCAAATTTAGGTTGCATATCAAGATCTACGTGGTTTTTAACTCCGAGCCATCACCAGGAGAAAGATACGCGCTCGGCATCTCGCTATCTTACACCTTCCAGGAAAAAAAAAAAAAAAGAAAAAAGAAAAAAAGAGCAGAAAACCACCCCAAACCCAACATCTCTATTCCGCTCTCCCGCTCCTCGCCGCGCTTCGTGCCCGGGGAAGCCGCCGCGCCGCTTCCCCCCCGCCTGAACCGCCGCCCCTCCGCCTGCCTCCCCTCTCCATCCCCAGCCTCCTCCTCTCCCCACGGGGACCCCAAAGCCTCCTCCTCTCCCCCCGGACCCTCTCCGAGTGCCGCTTTCCCCCCAAAAAACCCCGGAGCTGCCGTGGCTGCAGCGCCCCCCCCCCCACCAAGCCGGCTCGCCCCGTCGAACCGTGAGGAGCGCGCCCGGGACGGCCGGGCAGAGGGGACAGCGGGGCGGACAGACGGACACAGGTCGGACAGACGGACACACAGTGCGGACAGACGGACACACAGAGGTGGGGTAACCCGCTGCCTCCCCCGCTTCAACGCCAACTTTCCTCGGGACCTGCCCCCCCGACGTGCGGCGCTGCGAGCCGGGGGTGCCCCGGCGGTGCTTAGGGGGGGGCTTCCCATCCCTCCTCCCCCTCGGGCGGGCACCCCACAGCCCCCCACAGCCCCCCCAGCCCCGCCGAGCCCGAGGCGAGGAGTTGCGGGTACCTGCGCTCAGCTCCGCGCCGCCGCCCCCCGCTCCCCCCGCCGCCGGCCCCGCCGCCGCCGCCGCCGCTCCCCCCGGCGGGCAGGGGCCGTAGCGGCCCGCGGAGCCCGGGGCCGGCGTGCGGGGGTGCCCGTGGGCGGCGGCGGGGCGTGCGGGCCCGTTGGGGAAGGGCGGGTAGGGCAGCGGCTCGGCGGCGTGCGGGAAGGGCTGCCCCGCGGCGCGCCCCCGGGGCACCTCCACCATCGCGCCGGCTCGCTCGTAGCGCCGTGCCAGCGCCGCCCGCTTGCCGGGGAAGGTCTTGAGGACGCTGTAGGGACCCCGCTGCTTGTAGATTTTGGGGGTGCTGGGCCCCTCCTCCGCCGCCCGCATCTCCTCCTCCTCCTCTTCCATCCTCCTCCTCCTCCTCCTCCTCCTCCTCCTCCTCCTCCTCCCCCGGCCGGGCTGTGGCCGCCACCGCTGCCGCCGCCGCCGCGGCTCGTCTCTGTGGCACGGCGGAGCCCCGGCGCGGCGGGGCGCCGGCCTGATTGACAGGCGGCCGCGCCAATGCCTGGAGGGAGACGGGCGGCGACCGCCGAGTGTTTGGGGCGAGCTCTGCTAATGGCAACGGGGCGGGGAGGCGGGACGTGGCGGGGCCGCCCCCGCCCCGGTTCCCCTCACGGAGGGTGCCGGGGGGGCGGCCCGGCTCGACGCGGCCCCTCACGGCTCGGCCCGGGCCGTCGTGGGCAGACCCTAAAACTTTGTGGGGTTCCCCCCCCCCCCCACACCCACAGCCCTCACGGGGCGGCCCGCAGCGGAGCGGTGCCCTGAGGGTCGCGGTCCCCCGCCGAGAGAGCGGGGTGGTGTGTGTCTGTGTGTGTTGTGTGTGTGTGTGTGTGTGTGTGTGTGCCCCCCCCGTTATTAGGGGAAAAATAAATAATGCCATAAATAAAAGTATTTGGGCGCGCATGGACCTGTCAGAGTTGATTAGGGCACAGAGGACATTTTCTTCCTCATTATGCAAAAGCGTTTCATGGCGAAATAAAAAGAGGTTTCGCCGTAACTCATGCATGTCAGATTTCCAGGAATCCGGCAGATTAATCACATTTAGCATTATTTTCATTGCTCCCCCTTCCCCCCCTTCCCACCGCGCACACGCACCCCCTGCCCGCCTTTGGGCAGCCGCTGAAAATTTGGGAGACGCGGGGCGCAGCCACGTCCCTCTCCCCTCCACCGCCTGCCCAGACCCTTTCAGGGACAGTTAAGAAATAATGAAATGCTGGTGAAAGACAGCCGGAGAATGAGATGCCATCGAGAGACGTTTCTGAGAAATGGTGGAGATCTGGGGGAGATGGGAGACAGCTGAAACTGAATGATATGTTGAAGAAAAATAAACGATAACAAACCGCTCGCTCTCCCCATTCTTTTCTGCGAGGCAATTTTATATTTTGCATTAACATTTCCCTCTTTCTGTCCCACTTCCCTCCTGCTCTTGCTGCTATAATTTATCAGGATTACAATAAGCCCTCTGGCTTTTGGAAGTAAAATTACAGAACACCTTAGTTATATTTAAGCTGTGGCGGTGGGAAATCATTCCTCTGTCATCACGTGGAGTTTCGGCTACTTATTGTGGTCATCGCTCTCCCATTTCAGCTTTATTTATTTAGTCGGAGTCGGGCTCGCTGGAAATGAAAAGCGACCCTTCTCTACTGATGTAATTAACTCCCGCAGTCTTTGGCCCCTCTCCGGCAGAAAAGTCGAGCTAACTTCCACAGGCTGGGATTATTTCACGTGGGGCGTACGGGGAGCAGGGCTGCTTCTGCTTTGGATTTTTTTGACAAGTGGGATAGATCGATTCATTGTAGCAGCCAAAAGCCTCTAAATAAAGGCTAGTGTAATAGAAATCGCTACTTTGCTTAAGCAAAATCAATCATAAATCTTTGTTTTCCAACTGACTCTTTGATTGCCTGTGCTTTAAAAAAAATATTGTACTGTAATGCAAAAGATAGAATGGAAATAACTGGGAGAGAAACGTTGCTCCCACTTCAAAATGACATGTTTAGATGATGAGCTTCAACAATTTAGTGTCGGAAAGCTGTTGAAGAACAGACACAGGAGGCCACTGTTTGGTCAACAGCTGGCCCCATCCAGTGTCCTCCACCTCCTGTCCTTGTCTCATCTGCCACAGCTACAACCCACAGCTATCTGAGGCCAGTAGGGCAATAAAATCGTATAAAGTTAGTATTAGGCTCTTAATAGTTAGATTCAGATAAATTCAAATAAATGTCCCCAAATTAACTGTTCGAATTCACCGAGTTGAAGGAAACAACTCTTGCTTGCCATGAGCCTCCTTGTGGGTCCCCACAACTCAGCTGGCTCGAGGGCGAAGCTGGGTCTGTGTGGACATGAAGGGAGAAGTTGATTTGGGGATAATGAGGTCTGAAACATCCGAAATGGGCTGGGGACCTCAGTCAGGAGGAAAACAAAGCCCATAAGTGTATGCACAGAATTTCGTTCTGTAGAGGTTTTTGACAGTGCCCATCATTGGACTACCAAAATGCCCCTTCAGTTGTCTTGGCTTTTCCTCTGCTCTGCTCTCCATGACTCTTCTGGGGCTGTAGACCTAAAAATGTATTTCATTCTGATTTGTTTTCCTTACTTTCCTCCTATGACTCTTTTCCCCCAGTTTGTGGCCCAAAGGCTGTGTGTTGTGCCTAACCTGCTTGCCTTCCTGCAGCTGAACCCCATGGAGCTTTTGGCTTTGCAGATTGCCCCTTTTTAGGCGAACATCATTTTCCTTAGAAGCTCCAACCAGGCATGCAGCCACTTTTGGAGGTGGAATAACGTGGCTTTGGAATTGAGGAGCACCTAAAGTGGCAAAAAAGCAGGCTGGGTTGAGTGATGGTGTCAAGGTCTGGGGTGATAGATGCTGCTGCACCTGTGCGAGCCATCGTAGGGTGGGTATCCCTCTTCCACACACCACTGCAGCTCCCTGTGACATATTTTACAGCACCAGAGGGTGTCTTGTGGGCAACAGCATGTGGTCATTAAATTATTACTAACCATTTAGCTCTGAATTACAATCCCGTTTTGGTTGCACACCAGATTAAACAGTTAGCATGTTGTCCTCAACCTTGATTATCCCCCACAAATTGCCTTAGCTGATACCAGCAGCTCATTTCAAGAAAGCCAAACACCTTAATTTCCCTTAGACTGCTCAACCACTTGGGATTTGACCCTGAAGCTGATGACTGAGTCTTTGCCTACCTGTTTGTTGATGCAAGTTTCCCTTGGTTTACTGACACTAAGGGTTTGAGATCTGTAACATGATTTTTTCAGAGTACTCTGAGTGAGCAAAAAAGGACTGGGGAGGAACTGACCCTCAAGAAAAAGAAAGAAAGGAAAAAAAAAAAGCTATTCAAAACAAAGACAAAGGGCACAACGAAAAATAAGAAACCCAGCAATGCTGCAATATATGCTCTCCTGCTCCTAGAAATCACTGCGAGGAGAATATTTGTCAGTATATAGAAAAATACCCAATCTAGACACAGGCTATCAATCACTGAACATGCCTGTGTTGACGGTACCGTGAGGTACTCAAAGAACAAAAGTGTGATTCATCTCTATCTTCCGAGCAGGGGCTAAATCTTGCGCCACTTATTCATGGAAGCGGAGCTATGGTGCTAACGAAAGCGTGCAGGATTTGGCCATGAACTGCCAATATTGCTCTGCACATTTGGAGTACATGATGAGAGCTGAGATTGGCAACTCTCCCCTGTAATCTAAACCACTCTGCAAGCAGGCTAGCCGTAATTTGCTGCCCTAAACATTTAACCTCAGCTAGTTAATTTAAGCTTAGCTCAGTTGCTCATGTTTATGGATAAAGAAACAAAAGGGAGAGCATCAAAAGGAAAAGATGACTGTGGAATTCAATATTTCAGCAGCTGTTGATAGGTAAATGTTATTGAAGTGTGGCATTCAAAACCAAAGGCCTGCATTTATGATAATGAGCCTAACAAGGAAATGAGATTGACACAGCAATTCTCTGTTTTTGTTGTCCCCTGAGGTTAGAGATTATGCAGCGCATGGTTCTGTTTTTAGCCTCTTTGGTGATTCCAACTGTGAGAGACAACGCTGCGCATATTTGTCAAGGTTGCACTTCAATCAGGTGACTCAGGAGCTTTTGGAGGGGGAACACAAATCGCTGGCCTCACTTCAGCCTTAATCCACATCCCATGTCGGAGAGCTGTCCGCTGAGCCATGGGCTTTTAGCCCCTGGTTCTCCTTTGTGCTTACTCAGTTCCTTGTGAAAATGCTTCGAAATAATTGAAATATATCCATCACAGCTACATTGTGTTTTGAGAATTACTGGAATGCTTCTCAATGACATTAATTGGTTTTAAAATATTTTTCTCTTTCTAATTAGTGCAAGATTGATGAGCAGTGGAAAGGGCATTTATACACAGGCAGACATATATTTCCATGCTACATTTGTGTCTTAATAAAATGGTAACTAACTGGATTCTTGCGCTGAGTAAACATTGGCAAGACAGAAAATATCCTATAACTGTAGGAGGAGGAAATGCCCTATCTTTTAAGTGGGACCACATTGTATAAAAAAAAAAAAAAAAAATCAACAAAAAACTGGTTTCCCTGAGGGCTGTAAAATGGATAAATGAATTATTTAAATGTAGTTATGTAGTTAAAGGACACACAGGAAAAACGGCTTGGATACCCAGTGCAGGAAAAATTATTAATATTTTAAGGAACCAATTGTGGACATATGAAAAGCTCATTTTAATTAAAGGTAGCTTACATAGAGCAGTTTGAAGACAGCAGAAGCTGTATAGGGGACCCGTTGCTTAGTATTTTTTAGAAATATGTCATGAATAAGGCTGATGACATAACTCGTTCATAACTTCAGCCTGCCCTGTTGGGTTAGGTTTGCAATAGCACCCCGTCCCTAAGCTCTCGCACAAGCTTAGTGCTGTCACGTTGGCCAGCTTATAACTGCTCGGTGGTGTTTAGATCTCTTCTTGAGGTGCTTCAGGCTTTGAGAGCAGCACCTCTGAAGGTCGGATTGCTGCAGACTGAAGGAGCCGATGCTCTGTAGGGTGAGGATCAGGCTGCTCCACCAAACCAGTGTGACTACCGCCTGTTCCCCTATTCCCCGTACCTCCTGTACTCTCAAACCTATTATCTGGCATTCAGAATGGCAGTCCTTGTAGGACAGAAGTCACACTGATCCTAGAACTCTATTAGAGTAGAAAACCTTGCTGTTCCCAAGTAGAGACAAAACTGATGTTTAGTACTGAAACATTACCCTAGGACCTAGCACTAGCACGAGTTTGGTGGTAGTTCAGGTAGAATTTTATCAAGCAAGCAGTGCGTATCAGTCATGGTTAAAACACAGATGGGTTGGACTGGGGAAAACAGCTGGAAGCAGAATCTTCCTTAAGTTCACCCAGCTGGGCAGTTTGATGGCGGTTCAA